GGGGCCGTCTCGCAGGCTGCGGCGGCCGCGGGAGAGGCGTCCACGGCGGCGGCGGAGCGGGCGGACGAGCAGGGCGGCGGCGACTCGGTGAGCGCGGCGCGGACGCGGCGGGAGCGCGGGCGGGGGTCTGCGGGCCGGGGCCGCGGCGGGGCGGGGGCCGGCGCTCGGGGCCATCCTTCCCTGCTCCCGACGCCCCTGCAGCCTTCGGGCGAGGGAGGGAGAGCGGAGCGCCGGATCCTTGAGCCCTTCTCCTTCGGTCGCGGGCCAGAGGTCCCTCTTTGTGCCCCGTTGCCCCCTCTCTCTGAGACTGCCTCCTGATTGTGTTCCTTTCCCAGATCACCCTCTCTAGTCTCTCGACCGCTCACCCCGGCCCCCAGGTATCTTTAGCTGCAAAGCCATTCTTGCAGGAGACCCCGACCCTCCGCTGCTCTTCCCACTACCAGAGGCCCGGGCTCCTCACCGCTCTCTACAGCCCCAGAGGCAGGGTGACCCACTCCCCAGCCCCGCACACCTGGACCCTTCTGCTGCCACCTGCCACAGAGGTTCCTAGCCAGCCAGCAAACTGCTGTGCCTGGGACCCAGCCCTCCTTGCCATCACCCTCTCCCCTCCTCCAGAACCCAGAACCCGAGGCTGGCAAAAGGGACTTTCTGATACTGAGCTTTGGGGACAATTTGACCCACTTCCCAAAAGGCTGGTCCCACGCCAGCCATGCTTTTTGGTGGAGACACCTGTCTTGTCTGCCAGTTGAAGGGCCAAGAATGCCTCTGTCAAAATGGGCCAGGCGGTCCCTAGGTCCTTCTCCAAGCTGCCCTGACTTGCTGGCCAGTATCCCCAGGGACCATGGCCAAGAGCTTTGTCATTTAAGGCCTCCAAAGCTATTTCCCCACCTAGCCCCAGATCCCCATAATTCTCCCAGCCACTGCGTTGGGGATACGAGGTCCAGAACCAATGGGGCCATCTCTCTGGGTTCTGGGCCTGGTGTCCTTTCCCACACCCTGTTTACCTCCCTGCCCCCCGACCCCCAGAGACCCAGGGCAGGGTCGGGGGGCTGGAGTTCAGGTCCTCGGCCCCCCTGCAGCTCCGTGGCCCTCCTTTTTTCCCTGTTAGAAACTTTCCCCTCTGCCACCAGCCTCCCTCTCCTCTAGATGGAGCCTGGACCATCCGCAAAGCATCAAGTCCCCAGGGCACAGAAAGCTGGGCTGGGACCCTGCAGGGCTGGGACCTGTGCTGGGGCAGCACAAGGAGCGTGGCTGCTAGCCAGGCCTGGGCTTGGGGGCCATGGGTCTTAGGGTGGGTCGTCTTGGCTGTCACTGAGCTCCAAATGGAGTTCGAGGGCTTGGTTTGCAGTGAAGACAGGAGGCAGTGCAGGGGCTGTTTTTCCTGCGTGTTTCTGACTGTCTTGTGTTGCTATGGTGACAGTTTTGCCTGTCTTCCTCCTTCTGACTCTTCTGGGAGCTGGTTTTTATTGGTCTGTTGTCCTGTCTTTTATGGCTCTAATTTCTCCTTTCTACTTGCTCTGAAATAAACAGTCATAAACATGGGCACTGGGCCCAGGCTGGGGGCTGGCAGGGCTTCACCTCCTGCTGGCCCTGGGCTCCTATGAGGGGAGAGTAAGAAAGTGAGGCGGGAACAGACCTGCCCACACTGCCCCCTGCCTCTCAGCTCTGGGAAGGGGCACACGGTGGGTGAATACTGCCTTAGTACTGATACAAGATGCCAAATGTGGCGGAGGACCTCACTGATGTTATTTCCTTTCATCTTCACAGTAGCCTTGTGGGGCAGGATCTCTCTCCACTTTGCAGATGAGTAAACTAAGCCCAGAGCAAGTGGGTTTTTCCCTAGGGTCACACTGATTTTAGCACACAGTCAGCCCCTGGTGTTTATTGGGTGAATGGGAGAATGATGGAGCTGGCATACGTGCCCTCTGCTGGGCTCCCTGGTCCTGTCCCGGAGGGACCACAGAGCCTGCCTTAGTCCAGCCCCCTAAACCCACACTGCAGGAGGCTCCTCAGAGGGCGTCCCCGCTTTCCCTGCCCCTTGGGGGCACCACTAGTCTTCTGTGGAGGCGAGCTGCCAGGGAGCTGCGTCTTGGCCCGGGTGCACCCTTGACCGAACTGCGGGGGACTCAAGTTGAGAGCAGAGCATAGCCACTTGTGACTTCCTGTTTTTACTCTGCACCAAAAAGAATTCAGTTTGCTTTTACTCCCAGGGCCTAGATGCAACTGGATAAGTCAGGGACGCTGAGCCCAGTAGAGCCTCCCAGGCTAGCCCTGGACAAGGAGTTCAGAGCTCACGAGGGCCATAGGGTCACCCACTGTCAGCTGTCAGTGACACTCTCCAGTGAAGCTGTCCCCTCCCTTCCCTGCTGCTGTTTCCTTCATTGCACTCTTTTCTCTCCCTCCTCTCTTTCTCTCCCTTTACGTTGCCATGCTCCAGGTTCGTTAATAATAAGCTGAAAAAGTATTCTGGCACCATGAAAAGACCAGAGAATCAGCAGCCTCAATGTCAGATATTGGCCCTGGGGAAGTCAGTTCACTCATATGGACCTCAGTTTCTCTGTCTTTAAAATGAAGTTGACAGCATCTGTCTTATTGGCCACATTTGCTTGTTCTTTTGGAATGGAATGGAGTAGTCTCAGGGGTTGCTCTGAATGCTTTGCAAGGCTGAAGAACCCATAATGTCCTAGTCCTGTTGGGAGATCTCAGTGCTAAAGAGACCCCTGAATCACTGTCCAGAGACTGAAAACTGATTTAGGAATAAGTAAGCCATAAACTCTTAGGGTTAGAGACATTCTCCAAAGTCATCTTTTCCAGCCTTCACAAGGAATCCACGAATTCATTTATGCACCTTACATTTATTGAGCACCTACTCTGTACCAAAAACAGTTTTGGCAACTGGGGACTTAAAAAATGAACCCGATTCCTGTCTTCAAAGACTAAAGTCTGGTGGCAAAGATAAACATGGAAAGAGACTGTGGGAATACAGTCAAAGAGGTAGAGTGGTAAAAGGAAGGGCAGGCTGATACAGGGCCCAGAGAGAGCCACTTGATGAGGCCACCATTAGGGTTGAGTCAGGTGGCCTGTGCTTTGTGGCTGAGATATAGTTGTCCTTCTGCTGCCCACTTGGCGAGCTCTAGTCTGGCCTTCCCAGCAGTGGAGAGCCCCTCATCAGCTCTTGTGAGCAGGCAAGGGATAGACACGTGGCAGGGAGCCAGTCCTGCCTTTCTCCCTGAGTTTTGACTCATGCACTCATAGTAGCCTCTGGTTCCTACTTCATCTTGGTTAGAAATCCTTTCTCAGGAGCTGCGTGAATTACCTGACAAAGCATCATAGTGATTGGAAAGAAAGTGGGCTTAGGAGTCAGGCAGGAATTCAGACTCCACTACGGCCGTGTCCTGACTGTGGCTGAAGGTTGATCTAACCTCTCTGAGACTCCATTCTTGTATCTGTAAAATTGTAATAATTATACTTGCCTTCTAAGAATTAAATGATTTTATGTATTTATAGGGTCTGGCATGGTGCCCACCTCACAGCAGACTTACTGTTATTTAGTTATATTGATTAGAAAAGAGTTCTTGGTTACTGGGCCTCTGGGTCCTCTTAAAACTGTGGTAGAGAGAGCTCTTTGGATGAATTCTGGCCTTTGGAGATCCATTCATTATCTGGGAGGGTTAAAAATTGCCCGTGCTCAGGCTCCCAGCACTGCTGGTTAATCTTCAAGTTATCTCTCAACAGATAAGCCATGTTCTACAACAGCACAACAGCGCGCCGCTCACCGACACTTCTGTTTTCTCAAAGGGAAACAGATTTGAAATGGCAACAAACACCCCGATTTTCAGAAACTTATTCTATCTACGAGAATACTTTAAAATGAACGCTTCATCTTTTTCATTCGGGGCACGTTTAACTTCTTTCTCTTAAAGTTACTATAGATAATATGTATATACATTTCCCCTCATTATTACCACAACTCTGCCACGTTAATATTATTGTCCCCATTTTACAGTTAAGAAAACTGGGAAAGTAAAGTCACTTGCACAGTGTCCGGCAGCTACTGAGTGGCAGGACCAGAATTTAAAAGTAGTTTCTGCTTGCTGTTTGTGCCGTAGTACACACTCTTGTCATTTCCTTGGCTGGCATGTCCGTGACCTAAAATAATTGTGTTTGGAGAATGCAGGCAGATTTTAATGGGGTGGAACTGGTCAGTGTTGTAACTCAGACTCATGGTAAATATTTAGAGACTTTATTAGGGTTTTTACTCTCAGCGCAGCCTTAACAAGGGTTTCTGCAGTTGGCTGAGGTTTTCTTCCTATGAGTGATGAATAGAAGAGTTTCATACATCTGAGTTAAGGGAAAATGTTTGATGATGCTAGAAGTAGCTTCCTTTGCACAAGAATGGATTGCTGGTTTGTCATTGAAATAAACTGAACTTCTTGCCAGGCCAAGATTTTATGATTGAACTTATGAGTGGAAAGCAAGACAAGTGTCTCCCAGGGATATGGAAACAGGAGAAACAACAAGGTCACAACATGTGGGTGGCTGGCTCTTCAAATGCAAGGGTGATTTAGATTAAATCTATCAGTATAACTCACATCTAGGAAGGTGGAGGTATTGAAAAGCAGTTATAGAATTTCTCACTAGCTTTTCCTGGGTAATTTAGGGGACTAATTTCCTTGGTTTAAGAGCCCCATTGCCCCAGCGAATGCAAGTGCTGAAAATGGGGACCATGTTTCTTAGCAGCGTGTTTACCAGGTCCAGCTTAGCACTGCAGACAGATGCGTTTCTATTTGCAATTATCTCAGGGCCTGAGTCTGGTGTCTGCTTATTTAATGACTTCACTTTCTAATAAAAATTCTGTATGGCATAGATAATTAGATTTTTAAAATGAAACTGGGGAAATGGAGTGCCCCAAAGAGTTTAATTGCAGTTTTATGACGGATCAAGCATGAAAATGAGATCATTCATTCCTTTAACAAATGTGTAACGGGGTGGGTTCTTGCCCTGTGCTGCACCAGGCTACAGTGACCAATATGGCATTGTCCTTGCCCTCAGGTAGCTCTCCCTCCGCGGGGGAAAGCAGGGAGGAA